GTCCCTGTCCCCCCACACGCCCCGTGTCCCTGTCACCCCACACGCCCCGTGTCCCTGTCACCCCACACGCCCCGTGTCCCTGTCACCCCACACGCCCCGTGTCCCTGTCCCCCACACGCCCCGTGTCCCTGTCACCCCACACGCCCCGTGTCCCTGTCACCCCACACGCCCCGTGTCCCCGATGCCTCCCCGTTCTTTGGCGCAGGCGCTTTCTGAAGACACCCTTGCCTGCCAGGCTGTTGTCCTGCAGAGAACCCTCCTTCCCAGGGTCCCAGGGAGGAAGCCATGCCCCTCCCCCGGTGTTCTGAAGGCTCGGGCAGGCTCTGGGCTGGGCTTCAGTAACCCCAGCCTAGCGCTGGGGCCCAGATGCCTGTGTGTGCGTGTTACAGCAAGGGCCAGGTTAAGGGAAGGACGCGTGCGGCCAAGTCCTGAGGGCACAGAGACTTCCATTTCTCAGCAAGCCTGGCAGCTGCACCAGCAAGGAAGACAAAAGAGGATTGAAAGAGGCTGGTGGAGGGCGGGGGGGGGGGCAACACTGGCCCTGTCAGCTGCACGGGCGCAGGCCAGAGCCGCCCACCGGCCCCCCAGCCGCGCTCCCTGCAGAGGCGGCCAGCCTGCGCCCGCCTGCCGGATCGGCCACCCACTCTGAAGCCAGGGGGACTTTCCCGGCCCGCCCTCCCAGCCAAGACCTGGGGTATTTCCACCATTTCCTCAGAAGGTCCCCAGAGTACAGCAAGGGAGGTCAGGGCCGCCCCCCCGCCCCCCAGGTCAGGCCTGAGGGAAGCAGGTGGCTGCTGATGTCTGGGTCACTTGAGTGGAAGCTTGGAGGGGGGACCGAGACTGACCCCCGTGAACCACGGTGGGGAGAGGGGCCGAGGAAGGGGCAGGCGCCACCTGCGCTCCCCCACAGAAAGGGGCTGCAGTCACACACACACCCTGAGGACACCAGCACTGACAGGGTCTTGAACACAGGCCACCAGTGACCCTGGCGTGGAGCCGGTGTGTGGCGGGGCCTCCGTGACTGAACAGAGCTCAGCAAGTCAGTCCTGGTTGTGAATGTCACAGTTAGTTCCAGAGTCAACGTGTGCCCTACATGAGCTTGCAAGGAGGTGCTGGCGTGCTGTCCTCATGCTCTTGTCTGGACCACGCGTGCAAGACACCCTGCCTGGCACAAACAGAGCCCAGGGTGGGGACAGCCTGGCCAGCCTGCTCCTGCCCGGTGCCACGGCTGCCAGCCTCCCAGCCTCCTGAAGAGGACACTCGCAGTCTGTGTGAAGGAAGTCCCCACGCTCTGCTCCCCCGGCTTTGGGGACAGGCAGTTCCTGGACTCTTGGAGTAGCCGACTGTGTGGTCACCGTCCCAGAGCCGGAGGGGAATGAAGCAGGGCCCTACCGCCTGCAGCCTGGAGCTCAGGCTCAGCCTGGCCGGGCACTGCTGGCCGGCGTCTGTCTCTCCCAGTGGAGAAGAGAGATGATGGAGTTCTGCAGACAAAGACTGCAGCTGGAGAAGTGAGCTGACCCCCAGCGCGGCTCCAGCAGCCTCAGAGGGGGCTCAAGAAAACACGGGGGGGGGGGAACCTATCTGCAAGGAACTTTCCCGAGATTATCTAAAGAAACGAATCTCAACTGTTCTAGCACCGCCAGGGGTGATGACGAGAGACCTGCTTGTGTTTCTTTGAATTGAAATGACAGCCAGAGAGAGAAGGGAGATAAAGGAACGGGAGCCACTGACAAGGCCCAGGCCTCACCCGCGATGGGGGCAGGGCAGGCCCAGGGCAGCCCCGAAACACCTGTGGAGTGGCGCTGGACCACAGGAGGACGTGGCTCTCCCGCGCGTCCTGGGCACGAGGTGCCCTGCCAGCCGCTCCCTGCCGAGGGAGCCTCGCTCCGCAGAGCCGCACCGCTCCTGGGGACCCAGGGGGCAGCCCAGCTTGGGAGAGGTCAGGAAGGGGTCCCCACGGACTGAGGGCTCCGTTCCTGAGCCCACTCCCTGTCTTGGGCTCCAGTCTCAAGGACAAGAAGCCAGAGGCTGTCTGTCTGTCCCCCGGGCAGAGGCCAGGCCTTCCCGGCTGCAGACAGTCCTGAGCCACTGCTCCCACAGGGCCCTGACCAACCGGGACTCAAGCGGTTTCTGCCCCCTGTCCACACAGCCCAGAACCGCTGCCCGCGAGGCCAGCGGCCCCGACGCCGAGGAGAGAGGCTGCGTTAGGCAGGGGCGGGCAGCGGAGGGGGACCCGGGGAGGGCGCAGAGGGGCCTATGCCCAGAGGTGGCTCCGGGCCGGGACGTGCGCCCCTGGAGCCCCCCCTCAAACCCGGGCTTTGGGAGGGGAACCCCGGGGCCGGGAGCGCAGCCCCTG